GTCAGATGTCTCCGGTGTCTGTATCTCATCTGTACTCAGAAGGAAGCGCTTCAGCATAGACTCGAACGCGTACCGCCTGGCGTGTTCGTGGAGACGATGACATGCTACACCGGTGCCGACTTCAACCCCTCAGACTCCATGGTTGTGGCTTCAAGGTACACATTGATAGTGTGCTGTTGCGGAAACCCCCCCTGATCTTTTGCACGAAAAGACGAATCTGTACCTCTAGACCACGAATAACTTTCTTATTCGTATACATTTTTCTATGCTTTTTTTGCTGGGGAGGGGGTGCATATCTGCAACCTAATAAAAAAAGATAGACAACAACATGTTTACTATGAAAAATGCAATTTGTATTCCTGATTTGCGTATGATTGTTTGAAATACAATGTGTGCTATAACATTGCCTTTGGCTTGCTGTTTGATCGAGCATACTATGTGACCATTTCGTCCTTAAAGAGTTAAACGATTATAATTCATTTATCAAGACCCAGATGTGTGACAGACATATTCGATCATGGTTCTCCATTTATTCCTTTAATCGAATGCTCTAAAAAGCTACATTATCCTCATCTTTCCCCTTAACCCATATGCTAAGTAAATATCACCGCCTCGTTTTGTCAGTGAGAGCTAGATGTTCAAGGCCTTTCTGCCTATTCAATCAAAATAATTATTACCAAACCTGACTTCAGGTCTACCCTTGCCTCATTTGCGTTTCATTTCGCCCTTTTCAAAACTTTTATGCCTTTTCAATTACAACGGTTACTACCTATCCCTTCTTCAGGTACACGTATATCTTTGTGTGGTGCACTCAGACTGGAAACCCCATCAGGATCCTGCAGGCGTCCTTGTCTCCGATCCTCAAGATTTACACGTCTGATCTGGTCAACAAAGCTGTGGCACTGCTCAAGGACAACACCCTACAGGTGTGGAACCTGGACAATCTGGACGCGGATGTCCTGCATGCTAATGAGATCATGCGCGGCGCCATCCACTCTCTGGCCGTGAGCTGCGCCAGCCAAACCGTTCTGTGTCACGACGCCAAACACCCAGAGGTCAAGGTTGTGGATCTAGCGACAGGGAAAGCGGTGGGCGCCCTCATGCAAGCTAAGGAGGTCCATCGGGTTTCACAGGTTCAGTTCTGTCTCAAAGGAATCTTCGCCGTCACTAGGAACATCCCTTTAGAAAACGACGACCCCGATCCGATAATTAGATACCACGATGACGAGGAGACGGAGAAACCTGTCATTAAGTGGGAGGCGTTGACTGACGATGTACTGTGGCATGTGGAGTCAAAGAAAGCTGTGTTTAAAGCACAACACAGTCGGTTTGTGGTGTGTAACCTGCACGAAACTGCTATGGGTTTCATTACCTGTTCTTTCCATAGCGCCTATGACTGGACTAACAACTTGTATAGCTTTGTCATGTGGGAGCCTACCACTATCTTCTTGTCTGGAGACATCAAAGGCCAGGAGATGAAAGTGGACATCCCAGATATGTCCGAGTTTCTTGGGCCTCCCGTTCTCCACACCGACGAACGAAACGATATCCACACTCTGTTGGCTGTGCTTCAGAGGTGTACCAAAAAGTTTGTTGGGCGAAACACTGAGAGCGCCAGAGTCTACGACAACGTTCTCTTTATTCAGAGGTTAGGGAAAGACAAGAAGTATGAGTCACAAATGCTCAAAATACAAGATCTACTCAAATTTCCTAACCCTAAGGACAGAATGGCTCAAATAAAAATTGTCAGCGGTAACCTGGCGCTAATCTGTTACGTGAAGGACGTAGATCACTTCATGTTTGACGACAAACTCGGTCTCAGAATGCCGACGAATGTGGAAAAAGGCTTCATCCTGCTGAACCCCATCAAAAACTTTGTGGTCAAACACACAGTGTGCTCACTCAGCCCAACCAGCGACCTGAGCATTTCTCTACTCTCCAGCTCCTCCTCCGTGTGGGTAGACAACAACCTCTGCGTGTACAACCTTCCTACAAACCGCCGTATCTCTCAGATTGAAGCGGACGTCGACTTTGACAGCGCTCGCTTGGCTTTGGACGGTCGGTACCTTGTGGGTCTGTGCCAGCAGCGACGCTCACTGTCCGTCTACAGAACGGAAGACGGGAAACGCCTGGCGAGACTCTTCATTCACGGCACCGCCGCTTGCCTTGAGGTTGGTGAAGACGGACGCACGGTCGTCGCCGGCTGTAATGACGGTCGCGTACTCATACTCTCCCTTGTGTTGGAATGCAGCGACCCTTATAAAGAAATTATCCAGAAGATTCCGTCGCGATTGGTGCAGCAAAAGAAGATAGTGGATAGGGTTGTTCTTCTCGAGAATGACGTGGCAGATGTGGAGTCCAAGAAACCGGAACTGATCCGACTTGCGGAGAAAATCCGTACAGACGTCAAAGTGGCAGTGAGGCGGCAGGCCAGCTTTAAGACCATCAGTAAGGCACTGATATCACAGCAGAGGGCGAAATCAAGAGCCTGCTGTATACAATGATAGAATCAACTTGACAGTGAGAGATTCTTGTTCAAAATCATAACCCGTATGAACAGAGTGTGCGGTGATAGTCTTCTGTTCAGAACCATAGACACATGTGAACAATGTATGTGAACTTATGAACACAGTGATAGTCTTCCGTTCACTACCATATACCCATGTGAACAATGATATACTCATAATATAATTAATGTACAGTGCATGATCGTGAACTCTTGCATACAGAGAGAGGCTCCTGTAATCATTGATAGACTCAGTGCACACAACGATGTACCCAGGTGCACAGTAACAATGTTAGACTCATGAGAACAGTGATAGGCTTATGTGCACTGTGTTTTTTTTTAAAACTCAGTGTCCGCCATTTACGTTTGACTGAGAACACTGAGACCATCTGATTCTTTCATTTGCTGCTGTTACGGTTGTAAAGTTCTGTCAGGCGAATCTATACCAGCAAATCCGTGTGCATTCTTGTGGAAGTATTTTTCCCTAATCCGTCGAAAATGCTCTTACCAGGTTTAAGAAAAGTTCTCTTCGTCATAGACTCAAACATAAATTGCGCTTTCATTTCGTATTTTCAGAATTTGAACAGATGCTTTATGAAGACTGAAACTGTTTTACGCCGTCCTTAGCACTTTGATTAAACATAAAAACGAAGTAGGTCTGTCTATAAGTTCGTGTAGAGGAAGGCCTATGTTATCTTCTTGTTGTGCATAGGGTTCGAAAAATAAGGTCAAATTACTGTACAAGGAGACGATTGTGTATGTAACTACGTGATTTTCTTGTTCACTACTTATGTACCACAAATTGTCCGTAACAATGCTTTTTTAGATTGAGTTTCCGAATATGCTCAAGTCCAAAGGAAGCAGTTTTAAAAACTTTGCTAACAATCTTGTCCAAGGACACACCTGCACAGGTCCAAATGTAACTTAGACTATCTGCTCTATGCGCAGGTTAAGGAACACGATGTACATTTTGCACCTCCCATATTTTCTGTTTCTATCTATGAGTGTACCCTAGTTGCCACAACTTGATAACATGTTTCGTCTTTGAAATGTGAAGACATGGTAAGCTCAAGTCATTCATCGTTCGTGAGACAGGGGAGGGGATGATGCTGGTTTGGGGGGGGGGCAGGGGGGACAGGGTGGAAGTAGGGAGGGGAGGGAGGAAATTAGCTGTCCTTCCACTTTTAGCAATTTGATCTCTGCTCCAGCGTCCTTTTTATACCCTGAAATGGCCCTGATATGGATATCAATATTTTGTGAGTCTGGGCACACGATAGAACGTACATTATTCCCCATACCATTACTATAATAATTTAAATATGTTGCTTTTGTTTGTATTTTCTCTTGACTTCCAAAGACGAATGCGATGTGATATTATGTTGTTACACAACTATGTACAATGTATAGCTCCAAATGTTTCTCTAATTAATTTGTTTGTCATTATTGCTCTCACACTATTATTATCAGACATGACCTTGACCTTTCAGGCCTATAGGTACCAAAACCTATACGTGTTACAATGCTAGGGAGAAGTATCTATGTACTGAAAAGTTGAATTTTCAAATGATGGTATATGATCAGTCTAGCGGTTTTACAGAGTAAATCTTAGATCAACTACTTTGGCTGCTAGCTTATGAAAAAAATCAATAAAGAAGAATAAATTAATTGTTTACTCGTTCATTTTTTAAATTTTTTTGGGGAAAATGTATCTGGTCCGTCAGCTGTTCAAATGCATTAAGTACAATTTGAATTAGCATTATTCATATTTGTTTGTTTTTTTTTGTTGTTGTTGTTTTGTTGGGGGGGGGGGGGTTGGGGGGGTTTGGGGGGGGTTTGGGGGGGGGGGGATTGCTGTTTCAGAATGTGTGGTATTGGTTGGGTGTGCTAAAGACTTGATATTTTGTCGAAATTCCAATTATTATATTATAATTGTTGGGAAAAGGCAAGTCAAATGCGAAATGTAATCATAATAGTTAACAGAATGAAAAAAGTTTTCCTCTCTCCTGAAAAAAGATGTTCCGCTTTCTGGGCTTAGTACATTTTAATAGCTCGCCGAATATCTAATTATGACACGTTTTGCGCGCTCACACATACAAACACACGTATACACAAACAAACTGACACATATAGCTACCCCAGAATTACAAGGTTCTATCTGCTCAGTACCTAGTTTTGAGAAGTTTGACTTTTTAAATGTTGAATTTCACAACGTGTCAAGATTTTTCGAACCCAATATTTTGAATAGCTTGATGACGACTACGAATAATCTTACGATTTAGATAGAGCAGATAGAAGATTTGGGGTTTCACCTCAAGGTGTTGGTGTAGTCTCAAACGGCCAAAAATGCCAGGTAGAATATTGTAATTTTTAAGGTAGCAGTATGCATACTTTCATACATTCATGCACGAATGTATGCGTACGTCTGGAGAAGCACAGATGGTGTAACAGTATACATAGCTTATCAACTACCTTTTCTCTTTTACATTTAGGTGACCTGGAATTTCACTCCAAATTAAAAGCATTACAGTTGTAAAAAATGACCGGTGTCCAAAGTTATATTATATATTTTCTTGTTTGCTCACTGTTTTGCTATGAGCATCGAGGTAGTTTTCTATGAAAGTCTAACTATGCAGGTCTTTCAGTTGAGACGTTTCTCAGGTTCCTTCGACTCCCTCAAGCCACTTTTTGTGTGGTCTGCTTCCTCCATTGTAGCCTCGGTGCCTTGTGATATAGGCTCTCGATGCTGGCTGACCAGGTGGCATTCAGAAGAGGTGATCAATGCATTAAAATTTGCAAGAAACGTTTTGTTTTAATGAGACTGCCGTATATGTTGAAACTACGTTAGTGGTGTCGTGGTTAGGAGGTTTGCTGTCACACGAAGAAGGCCCGAGTTTGATTCCCGTGTAGGGAGGAACCGTATTATGGAGTATTTTGATCTTTCTGCTGAAACGGTAATGTTGAATCCCTGACAGGCCCACCTCCTAAAAGATCTAAATTGTGTCAGTTGAGGGAAGGTGTGTGTGTGTAAGTGTGTGTGTGCGAGTGTGTGTGTGTGTGTGTGTGTGTGTGTGTGTGTGTGTGTGTGTTTGTGTTTGTGTGAGTGTGGGTGAGTGTAAGTATGTGTCAGTGTTTGTGTGAGTGTGGGTGAATGTAAGTGTGTGTGTGTTTGTGTGAGTGTGGGTGAGTGTAAGTGTGTGTGAGCGTTTGTGTGT